CCCACCAGCATTCTCCATCCAACCCTGTCCTGAGTAATCCTTTCCAGTTCCAATTATTCATCCTTTTCATATCTGCATCTATTTACCGACGTAATGTGTTCTTTGATCTTCCTCTTTTCCGTTTCCCTTCAGGATTCCAAGTGAGCGCTTGTCTGATGATGTAGTTTGGTGATTTGCGTAATGTATGTCCTATCCATTTCCATCATCTTTTCCTGATTTCCTCTTTAGTTGGAAGCTGGTTTGTTCTCTCCTACAGAAAGCTGTTGCCGATGGTATCCGGTCAATGGATGTTGATTATCTTGCGTAGACAACTATTTATAAATACCTGTACATAATCTCTTAGTAAAATCTAAGAACCATCTAGTCTCAGACTTTCGTTGTTCTTTCATTTCCACGCCAATAATTTCTCTGTTCTCACTCACTTTTCTTAAATCTTCTTAACATTCTAACGTTAGACATTTCACTTTCGATTAATGATATATACTACTTATAACTGTTGACATCAGTAGCACATATCATAGTAATATAATAATGAGATTACTAATGAAAAAAACAACTATTTGTATCTACTTATCTGATATAAATTTTATCAAAAATTACTTTATTCAGTTCGTATACTCTGAAACTACTTTTTGTTCAGTTATAATAGATAGATAATGACTATCAATGGAATGTACAATGTATGTTATGTCCTTTTCAAGACTAATTACTTGAATAGATCCGGCATACTTCATTATTAGTATTCATATTGCGACTCAAACGTCAGAACGTTTATTCATTGTGCTTCTAAGTAATAAGGAGTTCATCAGATAACTTATTATTTCCGACAGGTCCAGTATATATATGCGTGTATATATATTAATTAAGAGTATAACAGTACCACCTCTGAAGCTTGACCAACCTACGTCCAATGTGTTGCACTGATTCTAAGCAACTCTAAGTTGTATCTTTTCATTTCTACAGAAATTTGAATGACTCTCATAGTCTCTTACATTGTACAAACATTCCATGTATTTAAATTAAAATGGTTACTCTGGTTGTCAGAATGGGAATCAGTCTCGTGATTTCCGAAGGAAATCGGTTTTCATCATAAGGCATCATAACTCTTCTTATTCCCACGGCAGGGTTTCCATAGTTTGAATTATTTATTTTTCTAGTTAACTTTTTTTAGCGAGTTAGTCTTCAAAAGGATTGGGTCGCTAACCACATGTTCAATCTTCCTACTTTATTGCGACTTGGGACCGATAGTATCCCCAGAGGGGCTCCAGGCAGAGTTCGTATATACATACATATATAACACTGTCTTCGGGATACCAATGATGAAAGATTAACTCAGATCCTTATTTTTTTAGTGATAGCACATGAGAAACATATCATGGTAATAGAATTGATTCAAAGTTTATCCGTAGTTCGTATACGTATCAGTAAATATCATGAATTAACAACAGCTTTTATTGATTTTTTTGGCAGAATAAGATAAACGTGCTTACATATTTACGCCCGTTACTCCTAATGGAGCATAGACTGCTGACACGCATTCTCCAACCCACTCTGTCCTCCACCTTCTTTTCTAGTTCCATCCAATTCTTGTTCATTTTTCTCATGTCTATTTCCATTTCCCGGCGTAATGTGTTCATTGGTCTTACTCTCCTCCTTTGGCCTTGAGGATTCCATGTGACGGTTTGACTTGTGACGCAGTTCGGTGCTTTCCTTAACGTGTGTCCTATTCACTTTCGGCGCTTCTTCTTGATTTCTTCCTCCGCTGGGATCTGTTTTGTTCTCTCCCACAGTACGTTGTTGCTAATGGTGTCCGGCAAAAGGATTTGAAGTATTTTGCATGGACAACTGTTAATAAACACCTGTATTTTCTGGATGATGGCTTTCGTGGTTCTCCAGGTTTCTGCCTTATACAGTAGAACTGTCTTGACATTTGTATTGAAAATCCTGACCTTGGTGTTGGTCGACAGTTGCTTTGAGTTCCAGATGTTCCTCAGTTGTAAATATGCTGCTCTTGCTTTGCCGATCCGCGCTTTCACATCTGCATCAGATCCAACCTGTTCATCAATGATGCTGCCCAAGTATGTAAAGGTTTTTACATCTTCCAAATCTTTTCCGTCAATTGTGACTTCATTGGTGCATGTTGTGTTGTATCGGAGAATTTCGCTTTTCCGTTTGTGTGTACTGAGACCTACTGCTGCTGAGGCTGCTGCTACACTGTTCGTCTTCTCCTGCATTTGTTGTTGCGTTTGGTATAGAAGGGCCAGATCATCTGCGAAGTCTAGATCGTCCGAATGCATCCTAGATGTCCATTGTATCCCGTGTTCCCCTTCAGATGTTGATGTCTTCATGATCCAGTCGATCGCCAGGAGAAAGAGAAATGGTGAGAGTAAGTAACCTTGCCTAACATGGGTTTTTATTTCGAACGACTTTGTCAACTATCCTCCATGCACGATTTTGCTGTTTAATCCATCATTTGAATTCTGTATTATATTGAATGTGGATTATCCTTGCAGTTACTGCTACATCGGCTTTCAGTGCCTCTTTCGGAGTGTTGTCTGGTCCTGCTGCTTTGCCACTCTTAATTTGTCTGATGACCATGCTGATTTCTTCAATTTTTTGTGGGCTAACATTGATTGGGTGGTCCGTGGGTGCTGCCTCGATGTTTGGTGGGTTCAGTGGAGCTGGCCGATTCAAGAGTTCTTTGAAGTGTTCTACCCACCTGTTTTGTTGTTCTTCAATGTTGATGATTACCTCGCCTTCCTTGCTTTTCACTGGTCGTTCTGGTTTCCGGCGATTTGCAGAGAGTTTCTTTGTTATGTCATATAGTTGTCTCATATTTCCTTCTCTCGCAGCCTTTTCCGCCGTCTTTGCTAAATCTTCCACATATTTACGTTTGTCGGTTCTGATGGTCCTCTTCACTTGTTTGTTTACTTCTGCGTATTCAACTTGTGCCTTGGCTTTTTCTGCTCTTGTTCGGCTGGTATTGATTGCCGCTTTCTTGTTCCTCCTTTCTTGAAACTTATCCATTGTATCGACAGTGATCCGTTCCTTGTGACGGTGCTTCTTGTGACCCAGGACCTCATGACATGTTGAAGTGATTGACTCTTTGATCCCCTTCCAGATGCTCTCCATAGTAGTTCCTTCTCCATCGAGTAGATCATGAACGGCCTGGAACTTATTTCTAAAGGACAATTTTGAATTTGTTGTGTTTGTTAGTATCCTGAAGAAAGGCCGTATTGAACTTTTGTGATATTGTCCGCCCCGTTGTCCAGTGCTTCTTGAGTTTCAATTTCATTTTGGCGACCACCAAGTGATGATCGGATGCTATATCAGCTCCTCTCTTGGTTCTCACGTCTTCCATCGTCCTCCTGAACGTTTTGTTGATGCAAATATGGTCGATTTGGTTTTGCGTGCTGTGATCTGGTGAAGTCCACGTGGTTTTGTGTTTACGTTTGTGTGGTAATATGGTGCCGCCTATGACCAGTTTATTGAAGGCACATAGGTTTGCGAATCTCTCACCACTTTCGTTCCTTTCTCCCAGTAAGTGTCGTCTCATGATGTCTTCATATCCAGTGTTGTCCGTTCTAACCTTGGCATTGAAATATTCCATCAGAATGATCAGGTCATTTGTTGGGCACTTCTCGACGATTGACTGTAGCCTATTGTAGAATTGATCTTTAGCGTCTTCATTGTAATCGTTGGTAGGCGCATAGCATTCCATGATGTTCATTGAAATGCCATCCTTCTTTTGTTTTGAAGGAGGCTTTGATGATCCTTGGTACATGAGATTCCCATCCTATAAGTGCATTTTGTGTTTATTTGAATAGCATCAATGCAACTCCTTGTGTATGTGGAGCATTTTCTTCTTCATGACCGGAGTATAACAGAAGCTCTCCTGAAGTTGGTCGTTGTTGTCCAACTTGCGTCTAATGTGTTGCACTGATCCCAAGCACCTCTAGGTTGTATCTTCTCATTTCTGCAGCAATTTGGAAGACTCTCCCGGTGTCGTACATTGTACGAACATTCCATGTACCTAAATAAATGGTCGCTCTGGTTGTCAGAAGGGGCATCGGCCTCGTAACTTCCGAAGGAATTCGGCATTCATCATGAGGCGTTATAGTTCTTCTAAATGAAGACCTTCTGACTCTCAGGGCAGATTTTAAAAGGTTTGAATAATTTTTTCTGGTTAACATTTTTTAGCGAGTTAGTTTTCTACGGGATGTGGACACTAACCTCATGCCCAATCCTCCTCTTTTATCCGGGCTTGAGACCGGCAGTAGCCCCCGAAGGGACTTTAAGCAGATAAACTACTCAAGTTGGACTGATTTGGAATATTGAGCAATTACATTCAAAGATATGAAATGATAAAAAAATCACATCAGATCTTGTTCAACTATAAACAACCTAAAAGCAATTAACTCAATATGATTAAATCAATGAGAGATTAGGTAATGTTTAACGATCGATCAATAGATTGATGGCAATTCAGTATTAAATCACTCCACCTGGAGCCCCTCTGTGGCTACTATCGGTCCCAAATCCTGATAAAATAGGAGGGTTGAACATGTGGTTAGCAGCCAAATCCTGTAAAAAACTAAATCGCTAAAAAAATAATTCAAACTATGGAAACCCTGCCGTGGGAATCAGAAGAGTTATGATGCTTCATGATGAAAACCGAGTTCCTTCGGAAATCACGAAGCTGATTCCCATTCTGACAACCAGAGTAACCATTTTAATTTAAATACATGGAATGTTTGTACAATGTAAGAGACTATGAGAGTCATTCAAATTTCTGTAGAAATAAAAAAGATACAACTTAGAATTGCTTAGAATCCATACAACACCTTCAGAAAAACTCTTTCACAGTGTAAGCAACCGAGAAATGATAGACAACCCCATTATACTTTTAACCAACACTCATTTCATGTTTAGTAACATCATTGTTGTTGTTTTGATTACTTTTCCTTTTTTTATTTCTTTCTTTTTTTTACCTTTCATAGCGTGATTGTCCATCAGGTCAATTAAGTAAAAAGAAATTTATTGAAGTTTATTCTGGATTTTTTCCTGATGGTAATGCTGAAAAATTTTGTACACATGTATTTCGTACATTCGATAAAGATAATTCTGGTCGAATTGATTTTAAAGAATTTTTATTAGCTATTAATATAACATCAGGTGGTGATCCAGAAGAGAAATTAGAATGGGCCTATCAAATGTATGATATTGATGGTAATGGTACTATAGAACGAACTGAAATGGTTGAAATTATTCGAGTAAGTTCTTGTACAGATTGATTTAATATAACCATTAGTGACAAGCTTCCTTTATTTTTCAAAGCAAAGATGAATAATGATGGCTAGTAGTGGAATCTAGTTTGATGCATGTTTCGTCCTATTTTGGACTCATCAGCTGGATGTACATGTATCCTATGAGTTGATGTAAAAAGAAAAAACAAAATCCGAACTACTGATTTACCTTTTATTGTTTTGTTCACCTTGACTAATTTACTGATGTTATAACTTGTTTGTGCTCCCTATCAATGTATGATGTAATGATATTGTCAATTAGAGAACAATAGCTTATCGATTGGGTCAATAATGCATGAGACAAGTATGAACAGTGTTAGCGGGACATAGACTGGATTAAAGCATGCTCAATACACGATTGCTTTGCTGCACGCCGATTGGCTAATTCTTCTCAAATCAGCGTTAGTCAATACTTAGAGAACACTCTAGAAATATACATGGATGTGTGTAAATTGAACCTAATCTTTTTACTACAAGTGACAATTTCAACAGATGAGTGTTAATTAATAAAATCGAATCTATAATTTCTATTGTTATTAGATTGTTTTGTACTGCTAGTTGTTTTATAACTAGACATCGATGGATGATTTTGATAGAGTTTTGTTCTATGAGCTGGATAGTTTGGTTGTGGACGAGAACCAGTGCTTTCAATATGGTATGGTCGTTGGCTTGTTTGTGGAGCTTTCATTGTTATTTTGAATGATAGCAACAGCATAATCTTCTCGCTGAATTACCCTCCAGTTACCAGCCAGCTCAGACCCATAAATGCTCTAGTGCAGTCGAGGGTGGAGAGAGTTATCTCTCCTTCAGCAAATGCTTTCACATGACCACGCATATACAGCCAGTGCTATAGAAGTCCAATTCACTGCGTTCTGAGTGGATAATCGTTGTATACGAAATCGAGAGGACGAAAAGCGAATGTTCAGTACTTTAACCGGATTGGTGGATACGAAGAGTCCACCTAGTGGAGAGGGAAAATTTTGATTCCAAACCAATGGTGAATATGGGTTCCAGGATCTTAAGAAAACAAGTGGCATTTGAACCAATGATTGGTCACAGGCTACTATATGACTCTATCTTATGACGTTCCACCACTGCCTTATGGATGAGACCTTTAGGTCGAAGGCTTCGCTTGTGTCCTCCTAAGAAAACCACCTACTTTTTTCAGAATACCCGAGCATTATCACAGCCCACACACAAATTCAGAGACTTTTGTGGTGCATATGTATTCTGTGCCCCATTTTGTACCAATATTTATGTATTCATATAAATCAATAATCCAGTTCATAGAACAAAACTCAATCATACTTAACGTTTTACAAAGAAATTTCAACACTACTAACAAGTAGCTAACATAATATAATAAAAATCATTCAATACAATCAAAATACCTCAAAGGTTAAGATCATGAGTCAATTGAAGGTAGACCACCATGGAAAACCTGAAAGCACTGGACTGCCGTTTCGTCCTATTGTGGGACTCCTCAGTAGTGCGCATCCACGACCTCGCCTGCTGCGAGACTCCGACCCGGGACCTACTGATTTCGCGCGCGAGCACCTAACCATTAAACCACTGAGCTGGCATCCAATGGTGTTAATGTCTAACTTCAACTAACTACATAGAGAATTATCATTACTGACCAAATAACTTCTAAATGTTCCAGAGTTCCTGTTATATTATGTATATAAAATGAACAGAATACAATAGTACAATGAATACTTGGATAAAATATTTAAAAAAATTAATGGGAATTCACAGGAACCGGATATTGTTCTGAATAAACTGATAAGTATATATGTATACAGTTATAGAGATGTTATAAACTATGCTTCTTGAATGACAACTAAAACTTATAAGTGAGTCGATTAATTCACTGTACCATATAAAAATCTCCAATTTTCTCCCCCCCTCTCTCTCTCTCTCTCTTAACAACTTATAACAAGATACAAACTATAAGTTTTATTCTAATCACTAACAACAACCAATATCAAAATATACTGAAAGTTGAAAGACATACTGCAAATGATTAGAAGGAGGGGTTGATATCTATTTGCTTATATTGCATAGAGTTAAACGATTATGGAATTCATATTTCTATTCCATCTTCACCCTCTCTCTCTCTCGCACTAGTAACTATCATCGGTAACCAATGGCAACCGGAAATTGACTACCTCAAACATAAATCATGGAAATTAAAGAATTTGCTTAAAATTATGATTAAAACCTTTTGATTGAATGATTAAAGTTTTGATTTAAGTGTAAAACTATTATGGATGTTCGTATATATAAGTACAATTAGTTTAAAAGAAGTGCTCGCTTTCAAAACAAGTAGGTCCTTGGTTCGAATCTCGCAGGAGGCAATATTGTGGATGCGCACTACTGAGGAGTCCCACAATAGGACGAAACGGCCAACCAGTGCTTTCAGGTTTTCCATGATAGTTTAGCTTCAATTAACTCATGATCTTAACTATTGAAAAATAGAAAACTCATATTAACATTATTTTCTTTCTTAAAGTTATCCACTATACCTAGGATACATTTCAATGATTGTTGCTGTTACGGAAACTAAAACAAACTTTCTTACTTCTTAATCTGTCAAATATACATTGACTTCTATTAGATTAGTTTTACAAAATACTCCTCTCCCCATTGATTAGAAGATATCAAGAGAAAATAGTAACAAACTCTCTCTTTTTAGATCAATTAGGATTGAGATAGCGATTTTATTGATTTTGATGGTCAAAGTATTGATCAACAGTGTTAGGGTATGGATAATATGATGGTTATTGTTTGATCTAAGGAAAGATATTTCTGTTTTATTTTTTTGAAAGAACTAATGGGTTTGTGCGTAGTTGTGTTTATTTTGCAGCAATTTGAAAGACTCTCCCGGTCTTGCACATTGTACGAACATTCCATGTATTTAAATTAATAGTTACTCTGGTTGTCAGAATTGGAATTAAACTCCTGAATTCAGAAGGAACTCAGCATCATAACTCTTCTGAATGAAGACCTTCCAATTCCCAGGGCACAATTTCAATGGTTTGAATTATTTCTTTCTATGGTTAGTTTTTTTGGCGAGTTAGTTTTCTACGGGATATGGTTGCTAACCGCATGCTCAACCCTCCTCATTTATCCGGAATTGGAGCCGGTGGTAGCTTCAGAGCGACTCCAGGCTCAGTTAATTATGTTTATTACTTCTGTCAAATTTTGTTTTCAATAGACAAAGATGAATTGTATCGCTAAACAACATTGTGATCTAAACCTTTTTAGTCAGTTACAAGACGGTAATGATAAATTTAGAACTTATTGTTTTAGAAATTAGGATCAATGTATGGATTTTAAGATTCTTACATCATAACTATTACCATTTCTATATGAAAACCTTAACTCTTTATTCCGTACCATATTTTGATAAATGAACCATGAATAAAACATTTACATATACGTTATAAGCTTAATGGTTTAGTTTAGCTTAGTATTGTCGTATATGGTTGTTAGTTTAATTACAAACGAAATAATACTTCCGTTCACTGAGATAATACGATTACATGATTTGCTTTTTGATTAAGATCATGAGCCGATTACTGATAGACTATCGTTGAAAACCTGGAAGCTGTGGACGTTCAACTCGTCCTATTGTAGGACTCTTCAGCAAAGCGCATCCACAATCCCGCCCCGAGGGATATATGATTTGTATCAGAGATTTTACTGTCACTAAACTGGATACTTGATTAATTAGTTATACGTAGACAAGGGTCATGTTACACTAGTCACATGATGTTTGATTAAAAATAAAGAGAAGTAAAGTTTAGATCGGACAATAGATTCATTTAATACAAACACCAACAGTTCATGTACACAATAAAGCCCAGAACAATTTAAGTGTCTGTTTGTCTTCTCTCAGTGGTCAATCATATATAAGTTTCATAGTGTTAATATCTAACTTCAACCAATGCACGAAATTGAGCAATCATCCACCATTATATTCTGTGAGTAACTATTTCATAACAGATCTAGTTGAACTCCACTAAACATTGCTTCTCACTAGAACTTCAGGAAATAACTCTTGAAACAAGTCACTAGTAAGCATATGATGACGATTATGACAAGAGGGTTTTGTAAATATTTTACTAATTTTTTTAGTTGAATTCATGAGTTAACTGAAGCTAAGCCACCATGGAAAACCTAGAAGCATTGAATGGCCGTTTCGCCCTTTTATAATGACTCCTCAACAGTATATGTATATGGGTCGTTGAAATTTTTGAGCTAAATGGTTCCATTGTGACGCTTTCATTTCTATCGTAGGAAAAGAAATTAGCTCCTATTTTGTATCGAAATAAGTTTCTTACTTATTCCAAAAATAATATGAAAGGTAATTTATAAAAGAAACTTTCATTCGCGATGATGTCACTTACCAGAGAATAATGAAAATGAAAGCTCCATAATTAAAATATCGATCGCTATTCAACTAAACTAGAAATCTCCACTATTGTGTATATCACTACAAGGCAATATACACTATAGAATAGTATGGATAATTGTTATGATTATTCATATCATGATAGAAACTCTTCTGTAATCTCATTTTGATTATGATTAATTTCAATTAAACCCTTTATATTAACTTACTTAACAGACAATACACCATATTTCTTTGTATTGTTATGATTAATAGATTATATGATAGAATCTAGTTCATATATGGATCCTTGAAATATCACTCGTTGATTCATTCTCTTCTCTATGTATATAGGTATGCAAATTCTATTATTAGTCGTTGCTTTGACTTACTTATACCCTTATGCAATATAACAATATATTTACCTATATAATTGCTCCTACATACACTTATTCAATTGTCTATTTTAAATCTCTTCGATGTGTTTATAGCTGTAGTGATCGTTTCTTCGAATATCGCGCCTTCGGATATTAAACCTCATTCAGGTTTATATAATAAGAATGACAAAAGTGATTCATTAATAAAGTATTTCTATTTCTATTTTGATATTTTATCATATATACTATTGATTTACTTAATTTTAGGCTATTTATTCAATGCTTGGTACAGATAATACAGCTGTAGATATTAGTCCAGAAGCTAGAGCTGAAGAAATATTTGAAAAAATGGATGAAAATGGTGATGGTGTATTAACACGTGAAGAATTTATGAAAGGATGTATGGAAGATAGTCAACTTAAAGCTATGCTATTAGCTGATGATCCAATTGAATAAATAAATAAAAAATTTAAACAATCACAAATCAAATAATAAATCATCTGTAAACAAACAAACCAATATGAACTTTATAACTAACCATTTCTCATTAGCATCATCATCATCATCATCATTATAGATTATTCCTATTCATCTATTTTCTTTTTCGGATTAGCGTATTTTATAACATGTTAGTATTCTATATGAGATGGAGTCATTCATCCAACTCACCTCTTCTTTTTTATCCAAGCTTAGGATTGGCAGTAGTTCCAGAAGTCCTCTAGCTGGAGTTCATATACATATATATATACATATTCTTCTAAATAATATTTCATATCTTTCTCATATTTGTTTTAATAAGTTTTTTAAAAATTTTCAAGCGGTTCATTCAAAACTTTACGATACATGAAATTTCCTCATTTCTTTTTTTTCTTTTCTTTTTTTACTATTTACATATTTCATTGAATCTATTCATATAAAAAGTATATTCTAATTATGGAATACACATTTCATATAGACATTGAATAGAATAAATCCTGTATGAAATGAATAATAATACATATTCCATAGTAACTATTTATTTCCTTTAATCATTTCTTGGATGACTTTTATGGATATTCATGTCTAGTTTATTTATTTATTTAGTTGCTAAGGGTGTAAATGTATTTTTGACATGATTTTTTTTTGTTTTTTTTCTTTTCTCGCTTTTTTGTTGTTTGTTTTGATTTTCAATTTCTTCTTCTAATTCACATCATGATTACACCATAAACAAACAAAAAACACAATGACGTAACATTTTTTTTCTTTGAATCTTATTCTCTATTCATCAATCATGAATGATTCATTGAATATGAGATGATTATAGAAAAGTAACATATAATAATTAAATAAAAGATTTCATTCTATATAAAGTACATCAGCAAGATTTCTAATCTAATGTTATAATTATTAATTGTATACTTATTGTTAAAGTGTTTAAACAAATAGGGCAAACTAACTATTCAAAATATATTCAAGTTTCAATAGATTCATATTATTAATTATTGAAATAATGATCATATCCATACACACACACACATACACCCACATACACAAACCCCTTCTTTCTGATGATGACGTAATAAATATACATTGGATTAGTTCATTTTATTTATATATAAATATCTTGTTTAACTTGTTTATTATCAGAAGGGGTTTTGTGTAACATCAATAGAAACAATCAATGATTATTCAATCAGTATTTGTATTTATTTTTAAAAAAAAAACTTTAAGAAAACAGGGTTAACCTTTTTAAAATATACCATACCCCCCTCTCACATTCACTCACTCACTCATTGTTACTCATCCACCCTCACTCACCCACTCATTCACTCACTCTTACTCTCGCTATTATTATAAATGTAACCTTAAAATGTATATTTTTGTTTGTTTGTCTTACATAACTCATTGAATTTTACTCATATTCTTATTGTTATTGTAAATAATTGATTATATAATTAAGCATAGTAACAAAAATATTCATTCTATTGTTATTGTATTAATACATATATACATTTGATTGTATACAAAATAAAATTGAGATAACAAAATTGTTTATTTTTTATATAAATGTATAAATATAACTCTTAAGTGTTTTCCTTTCACCCTTATAGAACTAAATTGAGATATGTTCCCGTATCCGAGTTGAAAGTGACCGGGAACATATCCCAGATTGGTTCTATAAAGGTGAAAAGAAAGCATTTAGGAGTCCTATACTTGAATATCTAATAGACTGTAACTATTCTATAGATCCAGAATATAAATATAAATATATAAATTATCTTGTAGTATGTACTACTATTGATGATAGATATAAGTAGTATGTATCATGAGTCAAAAATGAAATGTCTGGCAGAGTAAAGGGTTAAGAAGATGAATAGGTGAGATTATAATTTATGGACAACGTTTGAGTGACGTTAAACTGGCCTTGAAAGTGTCCACTTAATAACAAGGACCAAATGAAGGTTATAAATAAGTGTGTGAGGAATTAGAACTGATGATTAAGGTTAGGAATTAGATTTAGAGAGTTTTCATCCCATCGTCAAAAATACCAAAATGCTCTTTAAACAAATTACTTACTTACTTAGACCTTTTACTCCTCGTGGAGGAACATAAGCCACCTACAAGCACTCTTTATCCAACCCTGTCCTGGGCAATCCTTTCCTGCTCTTTCCAGTCACTATTTATATTTTTCATGTCTGCTTCCAATTCCCGACGTAATGTGTCTTTCAGCCTTTCTCTTTTCCGCTTACCTTCACGATTCCAAGTTAGAGCTTGCCTCATTATGCAGTTTGATGATTTGCGTAATGTATGGCCTATCCATTTCCATCGTCTTTTCCTAATTTCCTCTTCAATTGGAAACCGGTTTGTTCTCTCCCAGAAAAGTCTGTTGCTGATTGTTATCTGGTCAATTGATGTTGATTATCTTGCGCAGACAACTAATTATAAATAGTTGTACCTTCTTGATGATGGTTATAATAGTTTCAGCTCCACACATTAGAACTGCCTTGACGTTCGTATTGAAGTTCGTGACTTTGATATTGGTTGACAGACAGTATTTTAAGTTTCATATGTTCTTCAGTCGTTGGAATGCGACCCTCGCTTCGCCAATCCTCGCCTTTACGTCTGAATCTGATCCTCCTTGTTCATCGATGATGCTTCCCAGGCACAAGAAGGATTCTATATCATCCAGAGATTCGCCATCAAGTTTGTTTGGGTTGGTGTACTCCGTGTTGTATTTGAGGACTTTGGTTTTCCCTTTGTGTATGTTGAGGCCTATTGATGCAAAGGCTGTTGCTACACGAGTTGCCTTCATCTGCATCTATTTGTGTGTATGGGATAAAAAGGCTAGGTCATCTGCGAAGTCCAAATCGTCTAATTGGTTCTGATATGTCTATTGCATCCTGTGTTTTTCCTCAGATGTTGAGGTTTTCATAATCCAGTCAACTACCAGAAGAAAGAGCAAGGGGGAGAGTAAACAGCCTTTTCTGACTTCGGTCCTTACTTGAAATGCATCTGTCAGTTGTCCTCCATGCATGCTTTAACCAGAGAGGTGCATGAATCTCACGCCGAAATCCGAAACTTGTTATCTTTAACCTGAATGATTCGTCCATAAATTATATTCTCGCCGATTAAAGACAAGAGAATGATAATAGTGAATGAATGGTGTGAAAACGAAAGAACAACCAAGTTTGAAACGATTGATGAGCATTTTTGCAAATGAAGAATTTACTGTATAATTCTCAGATTTTACAAAAAATGGGACGAATCAATCAGTTATAAGATAACAGATCTCTAGGATTTTGGAGCGAAATTCATTTATCCATTTGGTTAAATAGAGTTTCGGCATTTAAGTTGATGTCAGTTCATGATGAAAAAAACCCTAAATCTAATTCTTAACCTCTAACCATTAACTGTAAATCATAATCCTAATTCCTCATACACAGGATTATAACTCTCATTTGGTTCTAGTAAGTAGGTAGACACTCTCAAGTTCGCTTCAACGTCACTCAAAGGTTGTCGATAAATTATTGTCTCACCTTAAGATGTTCTTTAATGTTATATTAAAATATATTTGATTGTCGTCAATAGTGTTCTTGTTCATTACACTACTTATCTTCTTGATATTCATGATATATGTGATTGAATATGACTTTATTGAAACCTAATGATCTCATGTGCGAAATTCCACCACAATTCAACATTGAATAAGTGGAATTGGTTGAAGTTGAATAATAATACTATTAAATGTCAATTACGTAGCCTACAGGTTGTGTTTGCATACACGAGACCAATATATCTTGAGGTGAAATCTCGCGAACGAGGTCATAAATACTCACTGATGAGGTGTCTCATACTAGGACGAAACGATCGCCCAGTACTTTCAGTCAGGAAGATATGAGAGATAATTCTATAGATAAACAGAGATTTTCATAAAAGAAACAAAATATAATGATAATAACAACAATTTTACGCCATGGTAAGAATGAGAATAGGATATGTTTCTTTTGTATCTATGCAATTCATTTTTTGTTCAATGAATAACAAGAGCTTTTTCCTGTTTCAAGATGTTAGTTACGAAGGGATCTTGGTAGATTTGAATGATTTGTATGATTAGAGATTTATAGATCAGTGAAGTGATTGGAGTGGATAAAATATTTAAGAATGTAGATTTGAGATGCATTCCTCCCATCTTTTGGAATATGTTCTAGTATTCAAGTTGAAAGTAAACACTGGCTACGGCCTATATATGTTAATCCACATGGGAAGTTGAACTGGTAGATGCACAAATCACTAATAATCACTGTCATGAATATTAACATTTTAGGTGTGAAGAACTAATTATTTATTTATTTATTTGAACACATTAATATTGGTACAAAAGGGGGCACCGAATACATATGCACCACACAAGTCATTTGGTATGTGTGTGGGCTATGATAGTGCCCGGATTCCCAAAACGAAGTAACTGGTTTTCTTAAGGGGCCACACCCAGAGCCTTCGATCTAAAGGTCTGATCCACAAGGTAGTGGAGCAACGCTGGTGACCAATAATTGGTTCATATGGCACTAGTTCCCTCTGGATCATGGAGCCCATATACATGATGGGTTTAAAATAAGGGTTTTCCAACTCCCTTAAGTTGGCCCTTCATGGCAACAGATGCAATGAAAGCGCCGGACATTCATTTTTCGTTTTCACAATTTCCTAAACAAGACCTTCGCCACGAGAATGCAGTGAGTAAGACTTCCATGCCAGTGGCTGTGTATGTATGGCCCTGTGAGAGTATTTCCAGAAAGAGAGCTAACTCTCCTCCTCTTCGGCTGTACCAATCTAATAACGAATATATAGATTGATGAAATCAACACCTTCTTCTTGTATGATAGATCTATGAGTATCATTTCAATATACTACTTCTGGATGGGTATTTGTAAGTAGTTTAGTTTATATATGTATATAGAATAGTGAATTTATGAAAGAAA